TATTGCATGAAGCTCACTGTGGGATTGAAAAATCAAAAGCTAGGGCTCGACAAGTACTATTTTGGCCAGGAATCAACAGTGACATTGAGAATATGATTTCTAAACGCCTAGGCTGTTACTTGACTAAATGGGTAGACATAATTCCTCTAAAAAATAAAAGTGCAGTGGAAGTTACTAGTAAATTGAAATTGATATTTGCAACACATGGAATACCCAAAACTTTAATTTGTGACAACGTACCATTTAATAGTTGGAAAAAGAAGAGTTTCGCAAGGGATTGGGGATTTGAAATAATCACTAGCAGTCCTCAATATCCTAAATCCAATGGATTTGCAGAAAGGTTGGTAGGTATAGCTAAGAGTTTATTTAGAAAAGCAGGATTAGAGAAATTAAATGAGGCTTTACTGGAATATAGAAATACTCCAATTTCAGTTATAAATTTATCACCAAGTCAAATGCTATTAAGTAGGAATTTAAGAACACGATTACCAATTACACAAACAGAATTGAAACCAACTGTAAAAGATCAATATAGAGAAAAGGTGAGGAGTAAGCAGAAACAGGCTAAAATCTATTATGATAAGCATGCAAGGGAAAGACCTGAATTTATTCCTGGGGAAAAGGTAATGTTGAGATGGGAAAATAAATGGGAGCCTGCTATAGTTTTAAAAAAGCATTCAACTCCTAGATCATATTGGATTAGAACAAAAGATAATAGGGTAATTAGATGGAATAAATTGCATTTAAGAAAAACTAAAAATCAGAATTTAGTGACATTAGACTATTATGATCTATGTAATGAAAATGAGGAAAATATAAGTAGTGAACATCCAAAAATACATAATGATCCTCACCATCAAAATAATAGCAATAATATTAATCGTGATTGTATATATAAAACAAGAAGTGATTGTAATGTATATCGACCATCCAAATATGATAATTATGTAATGTATTGATTCCTATGAGTTTCCCAAAAGAGGGGAGATGTTACATATATGTGGCAACACACTAGTTGCTGGTCAAACTGAAGTGAAGTGATAGTCAGTTAATGTTCGTGTGGAATAAACAATGTGCTATGTGAACGTGTTGCAATGACTTAATTATAGATCAATAAATATTAATACGATTAAAACAGTAATGTAGAGCATTAGTGTTTTTGATAGCAGTAAACATGAAAAATGAGTAATGCCCTTGCTGGAACTCAAACCTGGACCTCTTGAATACATGTTGAGTGTGTTACTGTTACACCACGAAGGCATGCACAAAGCAGGGAGAAAACACCTTAGATACTCCTCCTTTTAAAGGGCAACTGGGGATTAAGGGACCCAATCGACAAATCCTGGTGGTGAAGAATCATCATCCACCACCGTTTAGTTCAGATGCCACTGTAGAGTCATTAGGGTTTTTAATAGCAGGAAACATGAAAAATGAGCAATGTCCTCACTGGGACTTGAACCTGGACCTATCATATATTTGCTGATTTTTTTCATATATTCACCTTTGTGTGCTACCATTATACCACAAAGGTAGGCAGAAAGGAAGGAGAAAATACCTTATAGTAAAAGCATGATAGAGGATGTACGACATAAACACACGATCTTCTATATATATTCTATATATCATACAGAAGAAGTATAATATACATACATAGAGAAAGTACAACATAAAAATATGCAACAAATGTATTTTGAAGTGTTGCAGTTTCTTCAAAGGAGTATAAAATGAAAGCAACACTTTGTTTATATACATATACATATAAATGCATATATATACACATACTTATACACATATAAATACACTCCTTATATACTTATAAAACAATCTAAAAGTCTTTACATTAGTCTAAAAGTTACGAAAACCAATACAGTACCTGCTGTTAATCACTACCATTCCAAACATATTTGAGTTTCTTAAGCAGCTGAGTTTAAAAGACAGTGATTTGTAAATGGCAAATAATGCTATCAGTTTTAAACTTTTCATGTAAAATAATAACTAATAACTAATTCAATAATGAATCCCAAAATAGAAATTAAATTCAATGCTAAAATTAAAATTTTCAAACTAATTTTTAAAAATATTTTTATAATTATGTTGATGAAATTTTCTCTCTTACAAATATCTGTGTTTGTTGTATATCGTTAAATAACAGTTTTTTAATTGTACTTTCAATTTTTTAAAAGTGCTAATAGCCTTTTTTGATCAGTACCTTTCAATTTCAAGAGAATTTTTCTTAGAATTTGCAATGCTTTTCTAGATTTGATTGTAGGCATACAATTATTTTTTTACCTCTATTCTGCAGATCTTTTAACATTTTCATAATCAAATTGACACATATTATGAAAATGAATCTTCATAACTTTTCTGACTAATGTTTCAAACATTAGCTATAGCTTACAATTTGTCTGAGGCTTCTTCTACATACAAGTTACACTTTCAAAAACAGTTTTTAATAGGATTTTAAGAGATTAACCATGTACATTGTCTACAATATGATTTCTAGAAGTGATATCAACTTACTTATCTTCTTTGGAGTGCTTGTATTTTTGAAAAATGCAATTCTGTTAATCATTTTCTGAACACCTTTTCAGTAATGACATTTTGACAGCTTTCATAATAAGGCTAAACATTATGTGTTAGACTTGCAGGAGCGACAATGATGTTTTTTCAGAAAGAGATCAGAGATATGTTTCTTGCATAGCTATCTCATTAGTAAAGTTATTTTTTTAATTTCCCAGTTTCATGTTGCATTAAAAAAAAAAAAAAAATCAGTAAAAATACTACTTGCCATTGATAGGTTCTTGTTGCTATGACAAGTTAGAGGTAAGTTCTTGATACCTTTCAAACTTCGAGTTTTCCTGCTTCTGTTAATAACCAGCATTATCTTCTTAATTATTGGATGCATACACATTAATAACACAGTATTTCATTCCTTCAGTTTTTTAAACCATCAGCTTTTTCCTTTTTAAACATTAATATGTGTTCTGGTAATGTTCTATATAGGTAATATGTCTAGTTTTGAAAAGTATCAAATATTTTGACGACATTTATTCCTTTAGCAGCCCAAGTAAAAAATCTTTTGTCAACTTATCAGCCACATAATGATCTTTCTCTTCCTTCTTTTCATGCAGTTTCTCATAAAAAGCATTAGATTTCTCTTTCTCCAGCTGGTCAGCCATCTGCCAGTTGATACAAAATTCTATCCTAGCATTTAGCCAATTATTGGAAAAACTCTGGGAACAGAAATACTTTTTACATTTATAGCTCGAAATTATTCTAGAAAAGCAGTTTTAATGTCTCGCATTTTTCCTTTTTTATGCTTCCTTGAGACATTTTCATTTTTTAATTATGTCTTCATTAATTAGAAATACTTGCTTAAGTAAACTGCACATGCTATTTGGTAAATTCAGAGTTTAAATGTAGTTTTAATCTAGCTGCAGTTACCACGAACATAAAATTTTTTTAACAATTTATCCTTTTCTTTCATGGTTAAATCTTTTCACTTGGCATTTTCAATATGTTACAAGTTACACATATAACAAATAAAAAACATGCTTCTTCTAGTGATTTATTGAAATTTCAAAACTCGTATGTTTCCAACCAACAGAAAGACTGCCTTTCCTCTATTTAGTAAATTTGCTACTTCATGTTAACAAGCATGGCCAATGCTTTTTTTCCTTTCTCTTCAGCTTACAGTTATCCCTTCCTTACTATTCAAAAACTGTTAATGTATAGTAATGCTATGAAGCATTTCATGAACTTTTTTTATAACTCTGTATGAATACAATGTATAGATTCCACAGGGAAGTTTCTGAATGTGGAAATCTTAAAATATGGGATAAAGAAGTTGCATTTCTACCTCCTATCAGATGTTATTTGAGAAGGACAAGAGCACTTTAAATGGATGAATTATGAAAAGCTTTGATAGGTACAAATAGCATATTCCGCCAAAGAAAAATCAATCTTTTACCGGTCACAGTTTTACCAGCAGTGGAGATGAGTTAAATAACAGTACTTTTTCTATTGATTAGTATGAATTTCTTTTGATACCTGGAAATTTGAATGTAATAAATAGCTGAGTTTATTAGCCAATGAGTTTAATAAGCAGTGGATACTGTATTAAGATAAATACATAAATGTGCAAATACAGATAATAAATATTATGAAAATGTACCATTTCATAAAAAGCTAGAAGATGCATTAGCACTCTAAGTGTGAAAATTCTGGATACTTTTCAGTTAATGGGGTGATAGTTCTAATTGTGTGACAAGTGCTAAATGCAGCAAACTGCTAATTTTTACTTATATAATGATGCCATTATGAATAAATGAAAAAAAAAAATGAATGGATGAGCATTGATCCAATAATTTTCCTTTGGAGATTTTCAGTTGCTTTTTTGTTGAAGTGCTATTTTTTTTTCATTTCCTAAGTCAACTATATGGCCTATTGACTTCTAATGTCAAGTTCTTAATGATGGTAGAATTCTATTAACTGCAACCAGAAATGATTATTGCACAGCTGTTGACTAAAATAATTACATGAATAGTTTATTTGTGATTTCTGTGTATATATTTTATTTACTTATTTTAGATTTAATGAAATGGCAATTCTTTTCATGAATCTGCATATATTGTTAGTGCTGTGATTCCTAACCAGTTAGTTCTCATGCTTATATTATATACTTTACATCAAGTAATACCCTGGTAACCAAAAAGTATCGAATTCTGTTTTGGTGAAAACTGAAATATTTGATATAATTATCTACAAATTATTTATAAATTCTGATGACTGTCTTAATAAACAAAATGAGAATCTGCACCTTTAACATAACTGAAAAAGAGTCCGAAAATGCTTAAAAATGTTTTCATGCTGGATAGGTATCAATAAATGCTACAATAATAGAACAAAACATATTTTATATACTGAATTAATTTCCTAGACAATATTATTTTATTAATAAAACCATTTACTTCTCATATGAAAATTAAATTCAAACTTACAGACAATTCATTTTTCTCCAAGAACTCCCTAACTGTTTTCAGAGCAACATGTGCTGCATTTTCATTTGGATAGCCATATACTCCTGTTGAAATACATGGAAATGCTACACTACGCAGCCCATTTTCTTTGACAAGATTTAAGGAATTGAAATAACAATTTTTTAGCAAGTCGGGTTTCTCTCCGACAGGGCCAACAGTGTGTATCACATCTATATTAAAGATAAGCATAAATACAAAATAAAATATAATAGCATAGATTAAAAATTCAAACAGTTATTTACAAGACTTATAATGGTCAGAATTTTAATTTAGTTATTCATAAATATAATAATTATTCTTTGATACATTTATATACTTGCACAATTATTTCAGCTAATGGTAATGATAAAAATACTGGCATCTATACAATAAATTTATGAATAATTTTCATACATGTACTTTTTATAGTTATATTCTACAATAAATGTATCTACATACAGTAATAAATACTAAAGGCTTGAGAAAAACTTACATTTGGCAGGAAGTTTATATCCTCCAGTAAGCTTAGCTTCACCAGTAGGACAGCCTCCAAGTGTGCAACATTCAGCTAAAAGGTCTGGCCCTGCAGCTCTATGAATAGCTCCATCCACTGGGGAAGGGAAAAAATACTTACAATTTTGACCACTATTTATTAATAAAAGGACTTCAATCACAGAAAGTTTCACAGCAATACAAAAATAATGTAGAATCACGCTACTGCAATTTCAGTTAAATGCTGTTATAATTTTGCTTCACACAGAAGAATTGCATCATGACATATAAAGGTATATCATATTAAAAAATTCCAGACATTTTTATGAATATCTTTTCTTCAGAGTGGTTTAGAAGACATTTTGTAAAGTTTAATTTGCAGATTTCCTACATACAGCACTCTAAATGTGGTGTGAGGGTAATGTCTTAGGATAGTGAAGGACTAATACATGGGCCAGGAATCTTAAGCATACTGCTGCTTCCTCTGTTCTTATGTATATATAATTAGTTTATAGATATAAAATATGGAAGCAAACTAATTATTATTAATTTTAAAGTCACCAGTAAACAGCTGTTATATTACTGTTGCATGCAGGAATTGGGAAATGCTTTCAGTATGTTGTAATACGTTACATTAATATTATTGGTAATTATTAATCTAGGTTATTGACACCCAAGAAAAAAGTAAACTTATGATACAGCCAGTCCTAAAAATAGTCACTGTTTATATATAATACATGAATCTAAAAGGCGTAATTTCAAAATTTAATCCGCATCGTGCTTTCTTATCTAATCCTGCAATACAGACACTTCTTATCCTGACACAGATTAAGATGCCTTTTGAATCTCCCAAGCTCTTCTGAATGTGTATTCACTTTTCTACTTTGCTTCTACTAACATGCATTGCTTGTTTCTGCTTCATCTATAGCCTAAGACGTAAATTTCAAAAAGTTATGAAGACGGGGTGTCCACAATGATGTCAGAAAAAGAATGTATGTTTCAAGAATAAGTTGCCCAGTAATAAAATTATGTGATGAATGGCTTTGCCTATCTGCAAATATGTCTTTCGTTACACATCGTTCAAACTAAACTGCAACTATTTTGTGGCACAATAAGAGAACTTAGTAGAGGAGACACCAATTATTTTTCAATCACGGCCAGAGTAGAATGAAATTGGAAGGTAGCTTAAAAATAGCGATTGCTTAGATGACTAGAAAAGCATGACTAGCTTGATATTTAAAACATTTTATTTCTGGACGATGAATCTAATAGTAGATATCTTCTTAATTGGTACAACACTAAGGATGCTATACGTGCCCCACAATTTTACATCAAATGCATCACATTTTTAAAACAACAGATGAAGATACGTGCTTGCAAAGCAACAGCAAGGGGAAAAGTGATGCATATTAAGCAGCTGGAGTATTTAAAGGCTCGGCTTTTGTTTCCATCCTGAATAGTGATTGGACAAGAACTTATAGCAATGTGGAAAACTGCAGATGAAGTCACAAATTACAGAGTCTTTAAAGGGGTTGTATTTATAGTGAAATTAGGAATTAAAAGCTCTATTAGTGTGAATTAAGTTTAATTTTCTTTTTTGAATATATATACAAATATATACAGTCTTTTAACGATACAAGATATATTCTCCTTTTCTAGATGAATATATTTTTAAATCCTTCATTTTGTAAAAATACTATAGTCACAAATATTCATGCTTTACCCAGGATTCAAAGCCAACAGCTTTGCAATACTCAACCTTTGCTATTCACCACACTGTATGAGGCGGCTTATACAAAGACTCAGCCGAGTTTCACTGAAAATCAGTATGCCACTGCTGTCAACCATGAAATATGAAAAATGGAAAGTTTCCACGAGGTTTTAACAATGCGCTGTGATACTATTTCAAGAGAACTCCAAAATGACTTAAATTTCTTTAACAATGCATAACTTTGATTACTGAATTATTTATAATATGATTCTGGTGTAAAATACACTGCTGGCCACCGTAAATGCAACAGCCTGAAGGAAGCATGCAAATAGCATGAAATTTACAACATGCATTAGCGGAGGTGAGATATGCAAATGATTAGAATTTCAGCGTGGACGCACATCATGCGCACCTGTGGCGCCACTTCAAAGCTTAGAATTTTTGATGATTTCAAGTTTGACAATTGTGTTTCTCTTGTGGTTTTTTCAAAAAAATAATCAATTATGCCGAGTTCGACAGAGGAAGGTTAGTGGCCTACCGAGAGTGTGGTTATCTTTCATGGAAATCGGTAGTCATGTTGGATGAAACCAAACAACTGTAATGCAGATATATGACTGCTGGATGCAGGAAGGTACAACGGACCGTGTTCGATCGCATCCACCTCAGTGCACCACTTCACGTGATGACAGAAACAGTGTGCATGGCAATGACGGATCACTCAGTCACATCACAAACCATAGCACAGCCCATTCAGTCTGTAACGCATCATCCAGTGTCTGCACATACCATTCAATGCCGTTTACAACAGAGTGATCTGTCCGTAAGATGTCCGCTGCTTTGTCTACCCTTGTCGCAGAACCACAGATGTCTCTGCGGCCAATGGTGCAATGAAAGAAGGATGCGGATGGCAGAATGGAATGAAATTGTCTTTACTGACGAGTCACACTTCTTTCTGCAACACGCGATGGTCGGATTCGAGTCTGGACACACTGTGGAGAGAGGATGCTGAACAGCTGTGTTATGTACTGTCACACCTGCACCGGGTATTATGGTATGGGGTAGTATTAGATATTACTCTCACACTCCTCTAATACGCATTGCCGGTATTTTAAATAGCCAGCGATACATCTCCGAGGTGTTGGAGCGAGTTGTCCTTCCTTACCTTCAGGGCTTGCCCACAGCCATATTTCAACAGGGTAATGTGTGACCACTCGTGGCACGCGTAGTTCAAGGGTTCTTTGTCAATCGCCAGATTGAATTGCTTCCCTGGTCGGCTTGCTCTCCGGATCCTTCGCTGATAGAAAACATGTGGTCCATGGTTGCTGAACGATTGACCCAGATTACATCCCAAGCTGCCACACCAGATCAACTTTGGCAATGTGTGGAAGCTGCTTGGTTTGCTGTACCCCAAGAACACATACAAAGTCTCTTTGAATCAATGCCGAGGCGCGTGGCAGTGGTGATCTCCAACAATGGCAGCTACTCTGGCTACTGATTCTGGAAGGAACCACACTTCACAGAAGTCTATAAATTTAATCATTTGATACTTGGTCAACATGTTATCTACTAACTAAATTTTGTTGTGATATCTCTTGTCTTTCTTGATGCTGCAATCTGGGTGGCCAGTAGTGTATATTAATATTTCATTAGATATTCAAAATCTTATGTTTTTTGGCTAATTTCATTTCATAGTTTTCTTATAATTTTACCCTGAAAAATCCTAAACGGAGAAGGAAAGCTTTTATTTATCATTAAAGTCCTTTTAAACACAATGAAAATAAAATTAATATACATACTACTTATATGGATAAATTTAAAATGTACCATATACTAATGTAAAAAAAAAACTGAATATAAATAATTATTTATTACAAATTGGTTAAATCTTCAAAAAAGTCATACAACATATTAGGACAATTTAAATAAAATAAAATTTAAAAAGAAAACTTACATTGAAAATCACTAGGGGGAATGCAATTTGTTCAATATTAGATTTATTAATTCAATAAAATTCATTGATTGCTGGGAAACATTTTAACAAATTCTAAAAATTAAAAATCGGGAGATTCAATGACCAACCGTAAGACTAGGAGTTGTGATAAAAACTGGAAGCATTGCAGCTTTGCATATATCTGGTCATAATGAAAGTTTTCTGCCAAAAAACGCTCTTAATAAAGTTAGAAAAAGAAAGATGAAAGCAGTGTTTTTCATGTGGTCACCCAAATCTATGATTTTCTGCCAACATTTTGGTAGTTTTTCAAAGCCTTTGCCCAGAAACTTGGTGGCCGTGATACCAAAAACAGATTAACCACATTTTGGATATTCTAAGCAGAATGGAAGATAGCACCAGCAAGATGTAACTGCAGGTGTTAGAAAAGGTAGAAGTTCGAAGGAGTGATGTTGGGGCTATATGGTGGATGTGGCAAAAAGATCCAATACGAGTCCATACAGAGCCCAGCCGGTGAATGCAGACACTTACATTATCTTGATGGAACATCACCCTTTTGGGCCAGAACTCATTTCAGCATTTTTCTTTGAGTGTCGACACGGACTAGCATCTTGCTGTACACCTTACTGTTGAGGATTTTACCTTTTTCCAGATACTATGCAGTGGTGTAGCGAGGTGGGGGTTAAGGGGGTGTATGATGCCCCAGGTGCTGCTCACAGAGGGGCACCAAATGGTCTCCAAACAAGATTTTCATCATATCACTGTGTTTTTTTCGGGGAAGGGGTTTGCCAAAAAGGTATTTTGCTCCGGGTGCCAATTATGCTCGTTACTCCACTGATACCACGGCAATCCCACTGGACAAAAAGCAGGATCTTTTTGTTAGTCAAACTGCACTTTGCGACATTGCCGACGGACTCACGGGCACAGACCAAACCCCTTTTTTGGCCTGTGTTTTTGAAGTAAACCCACTCTTTATCACAAGTGATGACCCAATCTAGAGTTTTGTAATTGCATTGATTATTCGGACAGATAGTTCAGGGTGGAACACGTCCATTCTTATCTGCTTCAGTCAGCTCATGTAGCACCCAGTGATTTAACTTCTACATAAAGTTTATGCGATGCACTGCACAACTAACGGACATGGCACTAAAGTCTAACTCCTTAGCAAGTTCTTGAGTGGTTGCATATTGATCTTCTTACTTATGTTAGCAGGCTGGCTAGAGCACTCTGCTTGCTGAATGTCAAAGTCCTGTTTCTGAACTTTGAGTACCAAACCTTCACAGTGTCATATGATGCAACATTAGTACTTAAAGGTATACGTATGATTTGGTTACATTCTGTAGTTGACTTTTTGCAACAGAACTGGTAGTAAATAATGGTTCTAATTTGGTAGCGTGATAGTTCAATTTCAGACCCCTTGTACTTAATGACAACACTATTTTTTTACAAATTTTATAACACAGTGCTCTAAAGCAAGTCTCTTTCTTTCAAATGGCAAAAATTGTTGGACAAAATATGATTAAGTATGCCAACTTTAACAGTTTACACAGACGATATTTATGGTGGCAGGAAACTTTCATTAAAAACCGATACATTACCTAAATATATAGACATAACTGAACTTTAAAAAAAAATTTTTAATCATATTTTTCAATTATAATTTTTTACTCTAATAGGAACAGCATTAATTTATTTTAGTACCCCATTACAAATCATAGCATCAGAAAGTACACATTTTTCAACATGTTTTAATGACAAATGTTTGAATAATATATTCCAAACTAAAATGCACCACCCTAATAAGGACATGGAACTTAATAAAGATAGCATTGGAAAATGTCTTTTGTGCTGTAATACAGTATTTCAATTATAAAAAACTTTCATAAAAGTTTCAAGTCATAGTTTCTGTATTCACAAGAATTTGCTTTCATCATATCCTTAAATTATGCATACTTAATTTGACTACGACACAATGTCATTTGCAGTTTTATAATAAATATCACAATTTTTATTATTTTGCACTCTGTTTGAATATAATAGAATTTATTCCTCATTAAACATTGGTTTTCATTACATGAGTGAAATAAAAATTAAGTAATCTAATAATACAATTAATTTAACATTAAGTAATACAATATGCATTAAATAACAGGATGACTGAATTACTGTAGAACACATTTGCACACGTTTTTCTTTAATTAATATTTTTTTACTAGACAAATCACTACATTATCTAGAAAATAAATAGTTTCAAAATTTGATAAAATAACAGTTAAAAAAATACCTCCACCTCCACCTCTGAGAGAATTATTAGCTGCATTAACAATAGCATCTATTTCTAAAGCAGTAATATCTCCAACAAAAATAGAAATTCTTTCATTCAAATTTGGATTCTTGGTATACTCTAAAAAAAGATAAATAATAAAATTAAAAAAGGATATTAAAAAAAACCAGTTTAAGGAGATTAAAATACATTTGACAATCATACATATTAATAATTAAGTAGGAAATTTTCCTAAAAATATTACTAAAATTAATAGCTGTAACATTCTCATTTAAAAATGAATATATATTCGCACTTAATATTTTAAATCATTAAGTATCTAATTTGCTATGAAGTAATCAAATATTAGGAAATTATGCTTTTACTTTCTGAAATTTAAATTAATAATAACATTCAAGTATTAAATCTCAACAAAAATTCCTCCTACATTCAATATCTACCTCTACTTTTAACCACACATGTAGGGAAATTTGAAATATTTATTAAAGAGTATATACAACACTAAGTCCAAAATCAGGACATACAATACCTAGAATACTCTAACATCTGGTCCAGGTTTTTTTTTTTTTTTTTTTTTTTTTAAATTTAGGAATGGAGAATAAAATACTCCAGAAAAAGCAGAAGTGTAAAAAAAAAAAAAAAAAAAAAAAAAAAAAAAAGCAATTTTCCTCCTAATTAACTGTGATTCCTGTACATCTCTTTCAAACACCTGCTGACTATGGAATCACATCGTGGTCAATGACAATGCACTGATTGACATTAGTTGGGGTCATTACTTCCGACTTTTTAGTAGTCGTGGAGGTGATCTAAACAATATATTAAAGCCCAAAACATATTTGTTTCAAGTGGGATATCATTAACACTGACTTCTTTTTTTTTGTTGGCTTAGAAGTGAAGAAGAGAGAAAGAAACAGATTTGAGAAACTTAAGTTCCATTAATATAGCAAACTGCGCTCTTCTTTAACTTTTCAAATTGATCCAACTTATTAATTTTTGCAAACTATTATTACTTTAACTATCTTATCAAAAAGAAAAATTAAATTTTTGATTATGTCAAAAAGACTTTCTAATTCTGGAACTGTAGCAGAATCTGTAAAACGAAAGCATATTTGACATTTGTCTTTAGCATCAGAAATCTGCATTTAAACTTTTCTCAACAGAATGCAAATGCTGAAAAAGTAAAACAATTTGGATAATTTTTAAATAACATATAATGAATAACTATTAGCATTACCTATTTAGAATTAGAAATGTAAATAAATTCATAATACTTGCTTTAAAAGACTTTAACAGAATTTTATTCACTCAGTTGTAAAATATAAAATACTAGTGGAAGTACTCGATGCCAGTTAAGTTAGATTGAGAGTACAACAAACAAATCTCTTTGTTTGTTAGATTCCATAACAATCTAACAAACAAAGAGAATGATACTGCTGTAAACCTTCTCTAATAACAATGTACAAAATACAATTCATAGTCGTACATTTTTCAGTCTGATGTGATATGGAACTTGCATAAAAAGTTTTGATAGAAAAATAAGTTAATTCTCTCTCATTGTAACAGCAACAATGGGACGCAGTTTTTAACGATTTCCGTATTTCTAATTAAATGGTCGTAAAAGCTTAAGTTACACCTAATATTTCACCTATATTCAATTTTAGTATTTTAAATGTCGCAAAAAATTTATCATAATTAGTCAGAATAACACGAACAAACACACAAACTGACATTCTTCTTTATATGTACAGATTTTGTAAAACTTACAAATTTTTGATTAACAAACTCTATGATTTGAAAGCAAGCAGTAGCAACACGTTACGAAATAAAGCATTTTTATCGGCAAGGCAGGAGACTGTTGCCACTTGGAAAAATGAGTGCAACAATGAGCGCTTTCAGAGTTTTTAACTATTATTACGGCTGATTAAAATCGTACGAAGATGGGAAAAGTTGAAATGGCTTCCCAGGAAATTTTTGAAATCGGAAATAATGTACTTAATGTTTGGCAATTCTATTTTTATTTCATCGTAAAACTCAGAAATTTTTTTATTAAGAAAATCTAGGATTTGAAAGCGAGCAGTGACAACAACTATAAAAAAAAAAAGCAGATTTTAATCTCTAGCTTGCAAGACCATTGCCACTTGGAAAAATGAAGGCGGAAAATATCGTTTTTTTTTTTGAGTTTTTAATTAATGTCTCTGAGTTTAGCTACTTTTTTTGGAAAAAAGTGGACGTTGACCTTTATTCAGGACCTAAAAAAGAATTGTAGAAAGTTTGGTGATGATAGCTGTAGCAGTTACTGAGTTATTAGTGAACACACACACACATAGAGCCAAATGGTGATAAACTGAAAATAAATGTTTCTGTCCTTGTTGTAAGTCTGTCTGTCCATAAAGTATGCAGAGACTCTTGAAACAGTTTTGATCTGCTTTACATTTGTTACTTTTAAACATGAAATATTTAATGATATGTGAACATTTCACATTTTATGTGAATAATTTAATGTTATGAAATTTCAGAAATAATGAAATAGAATCTATGGACTTATTTCAGAAGCAGAAGAGCAATAATGAAATAGAAGCTATGGACTTTTTCAGATATTGCCAAAAAAGTGTATGAAGAGGAAAATATTTTTAATTACATGAAATTATGCATCATCAAAGAAAATGTACAGTGAATGATTCAGCACTGCATAATGCAAACAGGCACTAACAAAAGGAATTGGAAATTTAGGTACTTTTCCGTTTCGCCTGCGCAAATCTCGCCAAGCAGACTTTATTGGCGACAACACACAGTATACACATAAAAAATGTTAACAAATGTTAGTTCTAAGAAATTTTTATTTTGAAGGTATGAACATTGTAATATCGCTTAAAATTTTGTAAAAAGACATTAATTTAAGAATTTACTATGATTTTATGGTACAACACCCTGATTCGCAGTTTCTTATCACGTGACCCCAAGTGATCTCATCTTCCGTAAACTACGCTACAAAAATCTAATTCTCTCAGTAATGATCTACATTAATTTCAAGTTAAATCTTAATTTGGAATACAAGTTTAAATGCAAGAATTATTTCAATTCGTACGAATAGCTTACTCCAAAATTATGTAAAACCGCAGTGCTTTTACTTCGCTAGTGCATTCTCATTAGAATGGATGAATTTAACCATTAACTTTGCCTTTTCTATATTTTCGCCTTCAGATGAGTGGTGTGATTGCATTCTAATTGACTTAATTACCGCGAATGGCATAAGCGTATAAAATTGAACTATCTGGGTAAAAATTATATGTAATTGTATACCAGTATTGAAAAAAACAGTCAATATGATAAGAAATGGCTGTGACTTGTTTTGAAAATGAGGCATAAATGATTACCAGTGAGGATATTTCGTTTGGTATCGGTTGTACCATTTTTGGCGACATTATCGCTTGCACCGGCAAAATGGAAAAGTACCGAAATTTATTTTAAGGAAACTGGAATCTGAATTCCAGCAACCAGCTACGAATTATGGAACTACTCTTATATGCGCCCTCAGCAGGGTACGTACACATTTCTGCATACGGAAATTAAGTACTTTTAAGGACCGTTAATGAAAACAATTAAGGACCTATGAGCAAATGCGAACTGAATTTAATTGGACGATATTATCTATGCCTAGATTTCCCTTTTGCAATACCATCCCAAAAATAAAATAGATCCCTAAGTAGTACGCATTATTTCTAAACATGAATTAATTAACATAATTGTTAATAAGTTTGAGAATAAAATAAACTTTATGCAATTTATCAAGTAGCATTAAATATTTTACACTTATAATTGTTGGTCATATTTGAAAGAAGATAAGTGACATTTACGTTTTACTAAAAGTTAGCTTTATGTTGATTTTTGTTATGTCTCATTTTGTCACATACTTGGTCAGTCTAGAGGTTTAGTAAATAGCAGGTAGATTTTATGTCAAACTTCATAGGTTAAAATGAGAAGTAAGATCATAATCAGCATGATTCATAACCAAAAGACTGAATGTTGTCACCGCTGCTGCTTGTCTAGAGAAAGATCTGCTGATTAGAACGAACCTGAAAGGCCTGATGTAGGCAAGGTTGGCAAGTGTTGAAAGTTAGTCAGGTTCTGTTTCATGCAGTTAGTGTCGTAGCTTCGTGTACAGTTCCAGAGGTTGTAACCCAGTTAATATACGTACTTTAAGGTTCCAATAAGCAATTAAAGCACCAGAGGTGATAAGTTGTTTTGTATTATTTTAGTCTAAGTACATGCATAGAATATGTGTTACTTGAATTTTTACATTTTTATAATTTATCTTGCGACCACAGTGAGTATTAATGAAAGGCAATAACTTGCTTTAATATGTAGAGATAATTTTTAAGGGTAAGCAGTTAGATATAAATAATTAAATTAGGTAGTTTGATAACCATTATGGATTTACATGACCACTATTAAATTTTATTTTTTAACAGTATTTGTTAAAAAAGCCCTATTTAAATCAAAATCTAATAAAATTTCACAAAGTAAAGTATATGTAATTAAAGTATATGTATACACAGATTCTTAAACGATATTAAGATAATTACGCATTAAAAGCTACAGAACATTTATGTTTTGTAACAACAACAGTCAACAAAATATTTATCCATCATTTTAATTTGAAGCCTTCCCAGACATTTTGGCTAGTTTATATAGATTTCCTTCTCTTTAAGCATCTGTTCTAACAATTAGAGATTTGTCTCAATACGCAAATCAATGCTGTCGCTAGTTTCTGCGCCTTTATCTCCTAACTTGTCAACCTCTCCACAATGTACCTATGAAGGTTTAATTGATCTGGTAAAAGTTAAATAGTCCAAAACTCCCGACAGGCGTGAAGCATATTATCACTATGTCTGAAATTAACTACAACAATATTAGAAAAAGGTTTAAATAAGCCTTTTATTTAAAAAGAGCTTAAAACATAAAGCCATGTTCTGATGCTTACAAAATCAATTACATCTCACGGTGACATAATTAAACAAGAACAGTCAAATTCAAACTAATAATGTGGACTAGTGGTCAAAGATTATAAAATTTAATTTAAATTTAATCTGGCTCAATAACTCTATCGTATGAGGAAATAT